AAATGTACAAAAAGAACTTTGTACATTTGATGCGTAAAGCCTGGGAATCTTGTAAATCTGTGTACATTTGGCATTTTGAACGGATGTAAATAACGGATGGGGTACTTTCTATTTTTGTAATGTTGCAATTTTTGGGCCTTTTTGTACCTTTGTAGTATGTTTTTATTTAAATAAAAAATTTCAACCTAATATAGGACAAAAGATCCATAGAGAAGAGGGCAATTCTGAAAAAGCCTTCCTTGAGTACTTTTTTCTGCACTGCTCAACATTTCTGCCCATTCTAAACACATCCCAACAATCAAACTAATGCCAGGACACCATGTTTTCTTAACCCTCACGCTACCCTAGTGTACACCCTAACCGTACTATATGGAGAAAGTTCCGTTGAAAAGAGGGAGATTTTAAAACACTTTCCTTGAGTAGCCTTTTCTGCACAGCTCAACATTTCTGCCCATTCTAAACGCATTCCAACCATCAAACCAATGCCAGGACACCACGTTTTCCTAAGCATAACCATACCCTGGTGCACACCCTAACCATAATATAAGGCTAAAATACCATACAAAAGTGGGTGATTTTGAAAAAGCCTTCCTTGAGTAGTTTTTTCTGTGCAGTTCATCATTTCTGCCCCTTCTAAACACATTCTAAACATCAAAATCATGCCAGGACACCACTTTTTCCTAAGCCTAACTGCACCCTGGTGCAAACCCAATCTCTAATTTAGGGCAAATGTTCCATAGAAAAGTGGGCGATTGTGAAAAAGTCTTCCTTGAGTTGCTTTTTTGCACTGCTCAACATTTCAGCCCATTTGAAACCCATTCAAACCATAAAACTCATGCCTGGACACCTCCTATTCCTAACCCTAGCCCTACCCTGGTGCATACCCAATCCCTAATATAGGGCGAACGTTCCATAGAAAAGAGGGCGATTGTGAAAAAGCCTTCCTTGAGTACCTTTTACTGCATGGCTCAACATTTCTGCCCATTCTAAACCCATTCCAACCATAAAACTCATGGCAGGACACCTCATTTTTCTCACCCTAACCTCGTGATGGCGAACCTTTTAGAGACCGAGTGCCCAAACTGCAACCCAAAACCCACTTATTTATTGCAAAGTGAAAACACTGCAATAAATCCTGAAAAGTGATGTTTTAGTTTAAAAAAAACAACTCACAGCCAGTCCACGCCTTCACACACACACACTTGGTATTGCACTGACTGGCCATGCAAAAGCTCAAACGATTCGTGGCTAATGAGTCACAGCTCGTTAACTCATCTCCTGGCACCACTACTCCTTTTTCGAGCATGTGCCTGCCCCTGACCCTTTGTACGCTGTTATCCGATGCTGGGCTGCTGGGGCGATGCTGAGGCAACTTGGCTTGCATGCCGACAGAGAGGGCTCTGCGTGGCCGCTGTGGCACATGTGCCATAGGTTTGCCACCACTGACCTAGGGGTTTCAACACAGTTTTTCTGCTAATGCTAATACACAGAGTGGTGAGTGGTCCTTTTCTTTGCCTGCTTTTTCCCTTGTGAAAGTGCTTCGCAGCAATTTTATACAGGTTTTCCTGTAGGTAGACTCCAAAACAGGCACTGAATTCCATGGGAATCTTTTACAATGGGGACTAAAATAAGATTAGGGTTAAGCACCTCTCCCTTATCTCAATTTTTTCCTACATTCCAGTTACTTACACATATACATTTGTCTGCATAAAGCCAATTTCTGCTACATGGCTGATACAAAAGTTGGGAATCAAGACACATGGATCAAAACCACAAACATTTGCGTGATCTTGAATGGTAGTTGACAGGAATTCTGCACTTGTGCGGTAATGGTAGGGCTCAACATGGTAGACTTTTTTGTGGACTTGAGCTTTTTTTTTTTTTTAAGATTTTTATTAAGATTTTTAAACTACTACTAAAGACATCAATCATCAAATACATCAGATGTACTGGGTTAGCCCACTACTACATATTTTTTAACATTCTATAGTCATAATCAAATCCATTTATAACAACTTAAAAACATCTTTAAATCTAAGCCAAGTCCCGTTTCTCCAGCCAGTAATAAAAAAATTCCCAAGTTTGATAGAAGTCAGTATCTTCTTTCTTCTTCCGTGATAAAGTCAATCTGTCCATTTCTGCACAGTCCAGAATCTTTCTTAGAATCAGTGCGTCGGTGGGTAATTCCTCACTTTTCCAGTGTTGAGCAAATGCAATCCTCGCCGCAGTGATTACATGTAACATCAAATACATTTCTTGCTTGTTAATATCTTCCGGTATAATGCCTAATAAGAAAACTTCAGGTTTAAAAGCTAAGGGTTTTTGCAGCATTTCCTCAAGCCATGTATGTATTTTAATCCAATACTTTTTCACATTGTCACAAGTCCACCACATATGGTAAAAGGTACCCAATTTATGTTTACATTTCCAACATCTATTTGACATATTTGGAAACATCTTAGCTAATCGATTTGGCGACAGATACCATCTATAAAACATTTTATATAAGTTTTCTTTGTACGAAGTTGCTAATGTTACCTTAATATTTCTCTTCCATAGCTTTTGCCACTTTTCTAATTCAATATTAGATCCAAAATTTTGTGCCTTGTGTATTTGAGCTTTACTGGATCTCCTTTTGCCTGCTTCCCCTCCCCTCCACTCCCCTGCTCAATTAACAGCTGAAAATCCACAGTTTCTGTTCACTTTTCTTTTTCTTCCTCCAAGGACATGCCCTATAAACTATGTATAGCCATCACTTTAAACTGCCTCCTAAAATTTAAAAAAAACATCTTTTTTTAAAGAAGAATGGCATAATAATGATTGTTAGATTTTAGGGTCTGTTTCTTTTTTTCTTTTTTTTGTCAGTCCTTCTAACGGTTCCTAAAAACACATTGTTGTTTCTTCTTCCTTAGAAATGACTGTGGCTTAACAAACCTTGCAATATATTGCTTGCACTTAACATACTTTGCATATTCATATCATTCGTTGCACAGCTACAGTAAGAGCTGCCTATTAGCACATCAGTGAAAAAGTATCCTTATCTAATTGCTTGCAGCATAAACACTTTCTGATGGAGCTGATGTTGAAACACTGTGCTGTGAATGTTCTCACCAGAGGTCTGTTTGGTCCTGCACCTGCAAGATGTGAGTAGGGTTCCTGCAGCAGCTGGTTTTCAGTGGCAACACTGCTTCCAAATATCCATTGACAGAGCCTGTCCTCTAATGCCATCTAATACAGCAATCCTTGCTTTCACATCCCGTGACATGGGGACTCCATGAATCATTTCTACAAAAAACAGAGTATTTTTGTTTTGCTTGTCCTGGTGACAGTATCATTGGATTAACCGAGTTCTACTGATCTACTTTCTCCACCCCATGCTTAATTTTATAAACCTCCTACTGAATTCTCTTTAGTTAACCTTTCTAAATAACAAACCCTCAAATACTTTAGTTTCTCCTCATAGATAAGACATTTTACATAATTTTCTCTATTTTTTTACAGCCCCACCTTTCTGGGGTATTGTCGTCAGAGCTTTCAAACATGGCTGCTCCATAGATTTCTATAAAAGGCATTATCATACTGGTACTACTTTCATTCCATTTCCTAATAAATCCCTAGCAAAGAATTTGTTTCTTTTGCTGTTACATCATGCTGAGTTGATGTACTAGGTAGCTCAATGAAAACATGCTTCCTGAACAGAGAACTTTTGACTGCATGTTTGCGTGGAAAAGCAGGAACCAGGTAAGTAAATGGACTTTCTCCTGCTTCTTTGGTTTCCTGGGGCAAACACATGTCTACCTGGTAAGTGAAACAATATTATCAGGAAAAGTGTGATGTTATTGGATCTAGAATTGCTTTTTGCCTTTGAACCTTAAGTAACATGAAATACTTGCTTTATCCCAAGTCATCCAGCTCAGTGTTGTTTATACTGGCATGAGCAACACGTGTCCTGTGGGTAGCTTGTAGTCCGACTGATGGGCCTCCCACATCGGGGGTTTTGCCACTCAGCTGTCAAGTCAGTCATGGGAGTAATTTTGGTGAGCGGCAGAGGATGGGTGAATTTTCCTTTGGTGTTGAGCAGGGGCATAAAGCGGCATATCTCTGCAGTTTCAGGTGGAGGGTTTTTATCGGCCCTGCATGGAGATGCCACAAATTGAAATTGGGACCTCCACGGGCAAAGCTATAGCCCTCCATGAAGACATCATCGCTGGTGGAGATGGATAGTGGTCAGTGGACCACATGATGTGAAATCTGTGCCTGCAGGCTAGACCACCCTTCTATTCGGCATGCAGTAAGGTGTTCTGCCTTTATACACAAGTGGTAGATTGCAAAATGACAAGAACATCTTTCCTGCAACCCGGAGTCTAAGGATGCATAAATGAATAAGGGTCTAGAATGAATCAGAAAGATATTACTTTCTGTTTCACCATCTGGTTATTTTCTTGCCCGTATATTTTAATGTGCATCTATTTTAAGACTGCTGTCTGTTTATGTGCTATTTGAGGCACTTACTAAGCCATTGAAACACCAAAGGAATTGAGTGTTGAAAGCATAAGTGTTTTGAGGAGTTCCAGACACTTGCCCCCAAACTTCTCACTCACATTTAGTAGGCAATTCTAGTTTCCAATTGTCAAGTCTCTGTTACCACCTAGCCCTGGGAAGCCGGATAAGTATTATTTATGGCAGGAAGGATTGAATTAGGTATGAGGATTGATAGCAAAGTGTAAAGAAGGGATGCTTGAACGCAATAGGGCACATCCACGGATGGGGAATGTGTGACCCTTGAGATAATGTTGAACTGCAGTTCTCATCATCCCTCACCATTGGCTGAGCTACCTCGGCTGATGGGGGTTGCAGTCCAATAGTACTTGAAAGGTCACATTTTGCCATCCCTGGCATATTCTGATAAGGAGTCCACAATGCAGTAGAAGAGAAACTAAAGAGGAGAGAATAAGGCCAAGATACGACTGTGTTCAGCAAATTTTAGAAGTAAAAAATAGTTGAAGAGGTCTAGGGATCTGAACTGGCTGAAGAAGACAGCAGAATGCTGTTGAAGACCAAACAAGGGCATGAAGTCTTCCCAGAGTGCAAGCTGTGGGCACAAGGTAGAAGAAACTTGGGGAAGGCTGAATGTTTCATTTTTAATTTGTGGTGAAAAATTAACTTGCTTGTGTTCGTGAAACTTGTGGGTCCTTTCCCAATCCTAAGATTTCAGTGGTGGTTCTCGAACATTTCAGGGTAGAGGCAGCTCACAGAAATAGCATGTTTTAAAAATATTGAATGTATCCCCCCTCTTTTTTGCCTTCTTAAAGCTGGAATGGCATTTTTAAAAAAGACTAACATCCAGGCCAGCAATGCACAGAAAACTTACTATAGTAACATAGTACAGTATCCATAATGTAGAAGTTTAGAAATCCTATCCAAAGGTAATCAAGAGCAGATTGGAGTTCTTTAAAGCCCATTTAAAAACAGATGGCTAAGGAGGTTCTGGAACACCCTTCCCCTGGGGCCTATTTAGGCAGTCCTATGTCAATTTACCTGGGAGTAAGCCAGATTGAATTCAGTGGGGTTTACTTCTGGGTGGACTTGTATAGCATTGTACTGTTTATATTGCTTTAGCATCAGGCAACAACCTTATTATTTTCTCAGACTTTAAACATCTGTAACTTTTAAACATTTCCCTATTATGCTGTGATTTAGCATAATAGGGAAATGTTTCACTTTTTGAAACTTACTGTTTTGGATTGCTGTGTTTGGTTATTGCTGCAATGTTTTAATCTCGAGATCTATTTTAAAATGAATTGCCTTGATTCCATAGGCATTGTTTTGCTGCTTTAATCATTTTTTGTTTTATTGAAATTCTGATTTAAGGATAAGGTTGTCACCCAGAGAACTGCTTGTTATTGGGTAACCAATATGCTGAAAAATGGATTATTTGGTCATGAGTATGCTAAGACCAAATTCTAGTTTCCAATTGTCAAATTTCTGCACCCTTCCTTAAAACATATGTGTCTCTCAGGATAAGAACAGAAGTTTTACAGAAACCTGATGGAATTGCAACTGCTACATAGTCTACCAGAAATAGGTCGGTGGAATACAGTCTTCCTTTCATCAGTCTCTGGCTTAGAGATTTACTAGTGGTGTTCCAGTGACCTTTTGTCTCCCCAGTCTCTTGCTATGGTGTGAATAGGGTGGAAAGCACTTTCTGGGGAAAAGACTAGCCAATCCGTCTTTTGATGCTAAGTTAGTTAAATTTAAGGGCCATTGATAGCAATGACACTTAAGGGTTTCTCTGCACAAGGCATCTATTCATGCACTCATTATTCCCCACCCGTGGTGGTCTATGAGTTTTTTAGACATCATTTTGATCCTCCTGTTTCACTCCTATGTTTAACCAGAACTTTTGGTAAGTTTTTAAAGGCAGGAAAAAGAATGGCACTTAATTGTGAAAATGAAAGAACAGTTCCTCACTCCAAGTTTCTGTTCCTATGTGTTATTCCACTGTACCGCAGTGCCATGTAGTGGTTTTGTAGGGGAAACACAGGAAAGGAAATGCTCTTCCTTTTGTCCAGGGATCAGAATTCTGCCCAAAACTGAAACTGGATGCAGCAGATCAACAGTCATGTTTAGAAAAGCGAAGTCTTGACAAACTTGACCCATTGATGGCTTAGAGGCAAGATACCTGACAGATTCTTCCCACATGAACTTGCTGTGATAGTCTTCAAAGGCCCTGTTACTTTGTAAGCCACCTAGGAAGGTATCTGGCAATTATAGGTGGCCTATAAATGTATGTAAATAAAAGCAAGCAAGCAAGCCCCACCAGTGGAAGATGTTCGATGGGAACAGGTTTATGGCCTTTTCTGTGGCCGCATCTTCACTGTCAAATTCCTTCCTAAGCCAAGTGAGACTCATATGACTTTTAGGCATGCAAGTAAAACATTTTCTTTTCCACCTGACTTTTAATTGTATCAATTTGTGTTTAAAGACTGTACCTATGCTTGGTTTTAGCCCTCAGTTTTAGATCTGTTGTGTTTCATTTTGTAAACTATAGGATTTTATGAGTCCTATTAGGACCAATGCTAAAAATTTAAATGAGGCCTAAGTTCAGTAACTTAGTCTGTATCCATTCCATTGATTTTAGGATGTCCTTTGCAGGGTGGGAAAGGAAAGGGATGCATAAATCTCGTATTAATTGAGAAAAGCACTACTATAAAAAGAGATTAATGAATGAGTTGATATTGCTGGTAATGAAATTATAGGGTGATGGGACTCCCTGGAATTGAAACTGATATTGATTGAAAAACCATACATAATTTATTGAACTTTATTTAACTAGAATGTCTCTGAAGGTCATCTGTCATCTGGTTGTCCCTCAGGGTGGAATAGAGTTACTCCCCTGTCAGACCTCACTCCATTGCACTAAAACCAACAAAACCCTATTTTGCAAGATTGCACTGAGCTTGCAGAAAACCAAGACAACTTTGCTTCTTATGGGAGAGAGGTCATGATCGTATGTATTACTTTTAGAAATGAAACGGCATGCTACCAAGAAGCTGTCTGGTGCCCCTGCAATTCTGACAGCGCAAGGGTAGGCAGTGCTGAGCTATGCTAATTCCTGAGCTTGAATAGGCTTGTGAAGTGGGGGGGGGGGCCAGAGGCTGCCAATAAGCCATGATTGCCCTGGCGATCAAAGGGACTAAAGGGCCACACAGACTGCTCCTAAAGGCCCTCAAGCACCGGGAATCAAATGAGATTGAAAATACATTAGAGCAGGGGTAGGTGAATGGTTTTGCCATGGAGGGCTGCAGGCAGGAGCAGGTGGTGCCTGGGCTGGAGATGATGCACTGGTGGTGTGTCCAAAGGCAGCAGTGGGCATCTCCTAGGCTGGCGGCTCTGTCACTCATTCACACACAGAGAACTTGCTCCCCCCATTTATTTGTGCATGCACAGCACATTCTCCACTCTCCAGCATAAATTCATCAACATGAATGCACACTTCCCTGCATGCATGTGCAAGCACACTCATCTCCTCTCTCCCTCCTTCTTGCCATGTCAATACAGGAGGATGAAGAATTCTAAAGCTGGCTCTGCACTGAAATTCCATGGTACCCACTCCTTCCTGCTGCTCAGCTTATTAGCATGCTCCTCAGCTTTAATTGTGTTTATGGTCAATTTAAACTAGCCAATAACAAAACTTCTCAGTTGAAACAAAAATAACTAAACATTGAAATAAGTATGCAAACAAGAAACACACACACACACAAAATTTATAACCTAGTAACATGAAATTAAAATGAGCAACAGGATAGAGTACTTAAAGCATTTAAGAACTCTAGCAATATGGAAAGGTCTTCACTTTGTACCAGGAAGACAATAATATAAGTGCCTGGCAAGCCTCTCTTGGGAAAGTATTCTACAGACTGGGTGCCACCACGGAGAAGGCCATCTTTCTTGTCGCCACCATCTCACCTCACTTGACAGGGTCAACTGAGGAAGGTCTCAGATGATGATCTTAATGTCCCAGTAAGTAGAAACGGTAGGTAAATACCCCAGTGCAAATCAACTATGCAGAGAGGAAGTGCACAATATAAGCGGGGGGGGGGGTGGTATAGGGAGGATGACTCCTTCCGCAGGCTGTTGGAAACATGCTTTGTGCAACATTGGTGTGGGCTGCACCATGAAAGCTGCCAAAGGCTCGCATGCAGCTGCATCTTGTCCACTTAAACAGTTGCGAGTGGCATGCCCTAGCAGGATTGATTCCAGCACCTCCCTCCACCAGCCAAGGACAGGACGTACGGAGCAAGACAGAGGACAGAACCTTATAAGGTAAATCCAACTTGACAACAAGGGCCTCATCACACACTTATAGAATTGCTTTGCAGAAGAAACTCCCATGTAGGAAACTGCACAAGTTTGCTTTGGGATGCAGAGCTGTGGGATTTTTTTCTTCAATACCTATGAGGGGGAACAATTTTGCTAAGCTTCTGGGATTTGACTTGGGCACACCGATGGAGCATAATGGACTCCGTTTCCAAGCTTCATGAATATAGCATAACCTGGCAACAGCAACCTTTCCTTGAAATGGTAAAATCTCCAGTGTAAACTCCTGGATGGTCTGCGTTGTCCTGATCTAATGTGTAGCAGATCATGCTGTTCATCAAACAGCACAATCTTGTAGGGACTTAAATCTAAGGCTCGGTGCTTGGCTATCACTCCTCCTGCATGCGAGGCCCACTGGAAATTTCTGAGCTTCGAAACACACATGCTACTCACTGATGTTGTAAGGAATGTGCTGATTCTACAGAGCTGCCACCAACAAAACCAATTGTGCAAATTCGTGTTGAGCTACTGCATGCCACCAGGCATGACAGGCCCTCTTTGTCTGTGCCACTTCTAGAAAACATGGGATGCAATTCCACTGTGTCTTAGTTGGTTTGGAAATCTAACATGATTCTATTGCCTAGCAAAGCAGCATAGAGAAAAAAAAACTGGATCTGTTTACTAATGTCAGGACTAGCTCATTTTTTTTCCCCTAGCAAGTTCTGTACCTTTAAGCCAGGGGTATCTTAGCTCTTTCACTCGAGGACTAGATTCAGCTTCAGGAAGACAGAGGGGCTTCTTCCAGTATGCCAAAACACCGGCACATTTTAGCTTTAAACATTTTCTTGGCAGTAGTTGAGCCTTAAAAGCAGTACTTCAGGCTTTAGAAAAGGGAAGTGTTCAAAAGCTTGGAAACCCCTAAACAAGGGGAAGGAGCATCAAGGAAATCTTGGACCAGATTTGGTATGTGGTCCAGTGCTTTAGTCTGTGCTTTAAGCTGTGTGGCATGCAAAAATTCCACTGATGCAGCCTTTCTAACTTGAAGGTGCAGCAGTGGGAAGCTGAACTGCACCTGCGGAATAACTACTGCTACAGTAACAAAACCACTATAGTGTTAATAGCGATAACAAAATATGGGGCACGCTCAGATAAAGGTGGTGGTAAAAGCTAGGCTCCAGCAGTATGTGAACCAAGAACTACCAGTAGTACAGGCAGGATTTCAAAGAGGCAGAGGAAATAGAGATCAAAATCAGAGAAAGCTAGGGAAACATCTACTTCTTTTTTA